CAGAGCCACAACGCTCCATGCTATACCGCTCGCGTTGTCGCTCAATCAGCGAGATTGTGTCGTAGTCATCATAGCCGGAGCAGGTGCTGCCCGGCGTGGTGCAGCGACTATCCGCGCCCTCGCCGCGGCTGCTTGTGGTGGTTGTTCGGCGCGTCCTCCTGCCCATGGCCGTCCACTCCTCCTGCACGTGATCGGTGCGCTTCAGAAAGTTCTGGATCTTCTCGCTCAAGTACGCGGACGAGGTGCGCGGATCCTCGAACGAGGGCGAGGCGCGCATCGACTGATGCACGGGCTGGCGCTGGCAGCCGAGCACAAACGACAGGTTGGCATCAAAGACGACGGGGGAGCTCTCCAGGTGCCGCATCTCGTAAGGATCCACGCCCCCGGATCTGTCCCGCGTGTAGCTCTGGGGAAAGACGCGCCTCGGAGGCGTCTGCAGGCGCGAGCCGTTGGACACGGATGAGGATATGGTGGAGCAGCGAGAGGAGATCGAATAGGCGGGACTAGGCGAACGGTTTACCAGTCGCACACGATCCCTTTCCCTTTCCCTCTCCTGTGATGCCGCCGCTGTGGGGGAGTGGTTAAGAGGCAATTTCAGCGAGATCTCGTAGTGGCTTTCACTGTCCTCTTGCTTCAGGTGTTGTTCCTTACCCAGCAAGGACGTTGAAAGCGACGTAGAGGTGCTGCTGCTGCTGCCACGCTTGGAGGATGTGTAATTGTTGTGGGTGTTGCTGGTGGTGTGGCTTGCGGTGGTGTTGCTGTGTCTTGTGTGGCCATTGCTCAGGACGGGACTCTGCTCTCGCTGCTTGGGCAGCAGTCGGAGCTGCTTCCGTGCCTGGCTGGTCGGTGGTTTTGGGGGTCTTGGCGCCAATGGGGCAGAGCCAGCACTCAGCGTGGAGTTCAGCGAGGAATTGCTGCTGTTGTGGGAAATGGTGGCAGTGCCCCCGCCGCTGCGTGTTCCATTCATGGCTGCCAACACTCGGTCGAGGAAACGTTCCTTTTCCACTCGGTCCGACTCTAGTGGCAGCGACCCATGGTCAGGAGGCTGTGGCAGGATGTGGTTCTCTGGATATGAAGGTACTTCCTCGTCTGCCGCAGCTGCAATGTCAGCATTGTCCACATTAGCAGGCGACAAAGGAGGCATTAGGAATAGGATAAAGAGGAAGGGAAGAGATTAATCAGGGGGGTGGGGAGGTTAGTGGGGGAAGCACAAATTGGGGAATTGGGTTAAGGCTGTTGCAATTTATCGTTTTGACCAATTTTAATCTAATTTTTCGTAGCAAATTTCGCAATTTTCGTGTCGTATTGTCGAGTCTCGTAAATCGAGATATTTTGGTTTAGTTTTCTTTTCGGTGAGGGAATTCTTTTGGGTATATTCGTATATGAAATGTGTGTGCGGGTTGGTTGGTTGGGAGGAGATTGTCAAAAACTTGAGACCGTTGAATGCAATTTGAAATTTATTTTCGGGCCTTAAATTTTTGTATTCTTTTCGTTGTATTTATTCTAGCTGTGAAGCACGCGCGCTCGCAATCGCAAAGAATTTCCTTTGTTTTTTCTCACAGCGGGTTTTATTTTATTATTGCTTTTGGCACCCGTTTCTTCACACACGCACGAACGACAAACGGATGGATGGATGGATCCTAACCGTATCGTATCAGATCGGTTCAGATCGTATCGAATCTCTCCCGTACGTACACGGCGCCACTTTGGGGCCTCAGGCGTGCGCAACGTTTGCTCGGCGACTGACTGAAATGATGCGTGTGCTCTTGCGCTATCTTGGGTCTGCCGGGGCTTCGGTTCTGGCCAAAAGCTCTGCACCGGCTGATTCTTTTAGCAAACAACAGATAGAGAGAGAGAGGCAGAGAGAGTGAAAGACCACAAGAGATGGCCAGAGAGTACAGTAGAGACTGACGCCGCCAAGTCAATTGCAACATCACATAATCTTTTTGGCCAGACACACTCGATTTTCGGCCAACTGTTGATGTTCCCATAATTTGGCAATCGCAGGGGGAATTATGTAAAGTAAACCCGAGAAGCAGATCCGTACCAATCCGATATCCCACATATTTGAGTGTGTCTCCCAGCTGCAGCTCAATTGTAGCGCAATAAAGTATTATTAATGATCTTTTAGAGCATTTAAGAATGTATTCTGGGCTATTCTGGTGGCACGATGTGTGCGAAACATTGCCATCCATCTCCACAGAAGCCACAGAAACATCCACATGGGCACAGATCCGATCCGATCCGATCCACACAGAAGCACTCACAAATGACTCTCAGAAGAGTCAGAGTCAGAGTCAGTTGCTGTTCAATGCCCAAAAGGCGAGAGGCTATTTATAGAATCCTTCAACAAAAACAAAAGAACAGCAAAAGAAAAGCCAAAAGGGATGAACAATCTACACATCAGCGGAACGGGGTACGAGTACTGTTATATCAATAGATCTATAGATCGATTGGACGACAGGGGGAATTGCTTTCGAAATCGATAAAGACATCTTTGTAATGGAATCTATTAATGAGTAAAGAGGAGGGCAGCGGGAGAGGAAGATTCTTTTATTCCATTTAAAGATTTTTACTTGGAAATTTGTGGATATTTATAGAACGATGGGAGGTTTCTTTACGGTCTGGATAGTGAATTGAACTTGAAATGCACAGAAAAGACAACAATGACCAAAGAGCTTCATAGAAGATGAGAAAGAATACTATTTAGCATTAATATGTCACTTTTCTCATGAAATCAAAATATTCAGATGAGTTTCCCATACTACAAGGATACATTTCCCTTAATTCCCATCAAATAATAAAGAAATGATTGATCTCATAATCTGCTTTAAAGATTACGCTTTAACGCAAAAACTTTTCTCATTTTCCCCATCAACATTTCTCTACTTTTCAGATATTTTATCTACCAGAAAACTATCTTTATGTTAGACATTAATTTTCCCCATCTTTTCGTCATCTCTTTGGCGACCCAAATAGTCGAAACGAAAGCCACGAAAGACAGCAGATATGTGGCCACAGATGACATGTCACGTCATGCCACATCCCACGTTATTTTGTGGTGCTGCTATTTTAATTGGGTACGAACTTAGAGGACACTTGTCCATCAGCTGACACTCTTTCTTTGCTTTGCTTCCACTTACCTTTGCTTCCAACTTTTGATTCTCCGCCTTGACCTCGCTGCGATCGCACTCGATCTTTTCCAGCTTGGCGCGGAGCATCAGCAGCTCCTCATTGGCAGTCTTTAGCTGCTCCTCCGTGCGATGCACATTGAGCAGCGGAGTCACTCGAACCAACAGACGCCACCAGGGCCAGTCACGTACGGCCAGGAAAGCCTTGACATTGCGCTGAATGCAGCGTACAGCGAGTTCCTAAAAAAAATAATGAAAGATTTTAGTTGGTTTCTTGTAAAGACAGGGAGGGAGGTCAAAAGTTACCTGAACTCTGCGCTGCGACATCTTTTTGCGGGCCAAGTAGCCACGACAGAAGGCCTGCAACTGTATGATGCGATCCGAGAGCAGGACATCGCGTTTGGCCTCCAATTCACTGAGAACACCAGAGCGGAAGAGGATCTGTAAGAGAGGAAACAATTATTAATAAAGGAAATCAAGACTGATGCATCCAAATCCTCATCCTCTTCCCATCCTCAAAACATACACGAAATTCATTTAAAACTCCACTCAGCATTACATTAGCTCTCACATATCAGAAAACATCCCATCAGCAATCAACTTTGCACGTGCAAAACATCATCTGGAGCACAAAAAGAAAATCAAATCAAATTCGAGGAAGGAAGTGAAGGTCAAGGTGGCCCTGACTTTGGCCCCCTACAAGACAATGCTAACGAAGGTGCAGAGCAGCGGCAGATGTTTCAAATGGCTGGGAAGTACACAGAGAGAGATCCAGAGGTTATGGTGGGGCTAAGAGCCATAGCAATTTGAACACCTGTGGCAGTAAAAAAAGAGCAAAAACAGAAAAGAGATAGAGATGCCATGCCAGAGAGCACTCCGGACAGGTGTGAAAGTGAGAAGGGGGCAATGAAAATGAAATTGTAAGCAAGATATTGCCATAAAGAGCCAAAAAAAAAAAAGAGAAACAGCACAGCAGTGGATACAATGGGAAGCCAGAGCCCTGCTAGTGGTAGGGGTTTATGCAGGTTGGAAATGCATAAACTAATGGGGCTGCCATGGGGGGCTACAGCTACCACTAGGTGCTTCCCATACAAATTAGCGACTGGCGGACGCACCTTCAAGGTGTGGCCTTCCCTCTGTCTGGGCATTTGTCTGTCCCCAAATTTGCGACTTTACTCGAGAAACTATGAGTATTTTTCGCCGCCTCTGCCTCTCTCTCTCTCTCTGCCTGTGTCTGTGTCGCGAAGAAATTTTAATTATGCCCCGCACGTAGTCAAAAATGAAAGTAAACCAATGTGAAATGGCAAACTAAATGGTCTTTGGATCGTCACATCGGACCATATGCCGGTGCGGCATGGTTGTGGGGGGATACACTAACTATCGGGCTGTCCACTCGTCTGGATACTGGGTGTGGTGTGGTCTGGTGTGGTCTGGTGCGGTGTCGTTGAATCGTCATAAAATTTAACTACAGTGTGTCACATTTCAACGGTCCATAAACTCTAATCATGGTATGACAGCGCATAGGATTCGAATATATAGAAAGTTGATGCAATTTGTGGGATTTTTGTATGCACCTTTTTGAACACGAATATGGGAAAAATATTGAATTGATTTCTACCAGGAAAACAGGAGATTTGTATGCCTCAAAGAAGGAAATCTTTCAACAAAGCAGATATTAATATGTCAAAGCAATTTGATAGACAGATGACCGATGAAAGCAATTGTAAGTAAAGTAAAGCAAGAGAAAGGAAAGGAAAGGGAAGGGAAGATATAAACTAAGGCAAAAGGACAACACACCGATGGGGGGGGTTTGGAAGATAAATCTAAAATGGCAACTGGTTTTTTGTACAATAAATATTTATTCGTTAGAGATAAAAGGATAAAGTTAGATAAGGCAAAGCACAGTAGATAATAGTCGGATACATCTGAGAGTTAAGATGGGTTCTGGTGGAGATACTTCCTGGGATGGATCTGCTGGGTAACGCTGGGGTGCTGGCTCAGTGCAGCCGCATAGTTACCTCTTTCGTGTAGGTGGGATAGATCTCCACCTGCGTTTGAATGCAACGCACCGGCTGCACCTGTGCCACCACTTTGGACGCAATCATGGCAGGGCCAGGGCCAGGGCCAGGGACTGAAGCGGCATTCGATTTAACAGCCGCTGCCGCTGCTGCCACTGCCTCAAACTTTTGCAGCAGCTCGGCGATTTTGTTGGATTTTTTCATGGCCGATGGTTCCTCGGCCTCATCGCCCTCCGATTCGCAGAGGCTGCCCGTAGAGTTGCAGGTGGACGTGGAAGTCGAGAGCACTGTGTTGCTGATGTGTCCCGAATCATCCGAGTCCGAAGAGTGCTCCAGCTGCTTCTCCTCTGTCTCCTGCTTGAGGAGTTTCTTCAGCGGCGGATCATCCTTGCCCTTTGGTTTTCCCTTTGATTTGGCTTTCACCTCCTGCACTACTTTGACCAACAGCTCCTGATTCTTATCCGATGTCTCTCCCAGCTTGGGGGGTATAATCTTACAGGATTCGAGCTTGGGTTTGCCCACCTTCTCCTCGTTGGCGTACTGCAGCTTCTGCTGCTGACGTTTCTTATTCCTCGCCAGCTGCGAGTGCTCCTTGGTGACGAGACGGCTACTGCTGCTGCTGCTCCGCTTCGGCTTGCCACTGATGTTCTCCACCTGCCGCAGAATCTCATGACCCTTGGCCAGGCACTTGACCAGCAGCTCATCGCTGTGCGCGGTCGTGGCTCTCCTGGGACCGGCTGGTCTGCTGCTGTTGCTACCGTGTATCTGTCGCCTCTCCAGCGTGGAGTTGGCTCGCTTTGGTGGCAGTGGCGCTGCAGCGCAGGAGGTCGTGACTCTGGCTGTGGATCTCCCTGAGATGCCACTGTTCAGGGTAAGCATAGATCGTGTGCGCTGCTTGCTGCTCCTGTGATTCAGCGGCTGATCCAGACAGAAGCTTTCGCTCCTCTTCCTCAAGCTCGAGTGCTTCGACACGGGTATCCTGCTGCCATTCAGTTCACTCAGCGAATTGTAACGGGAGTTCCCGTTGGATGTGGAATCGGAGCGCCGCAAGAGCATGGAATTGGCCAGCTCTGGCGACTGATAGATCTGTCGCTTGGCCCTGCCCATGCTGAGGCTGCTGTGGGACTTGGAGAGCAGCATCCGTGGATCGCAGAACTCTGCTGGCGGGGCAGGCAGCACCTCCTCCCCCATGGGCTCTCTGATCTCCTCCACTGGTGGATAATCACTCAGAATCTGGTCAAAGCTCTGCAGCACTTCGTTCAGCTTGCTCTCATCGTGTGCCACCTTCTCGAGCTCCGCAAAGATCTCATCCTCCAGCGACTGCTGCGTGAGGCTGAGACTGAGGCTCAGTTGACTCTCCTCGTCGCTGTCCACGTAGCTGCATACGCTGCTGCTCATCTGTGGCGACACCATCTGCTGTTGTGCCATCTGCATTGGTGTGGCTGCAGGTGGAGCCACCGCATTGGGTGTATACTTGCCACCGATGCAGCCGCCATCCACCTGCAGGCTGAGGGCACTCATCGATCTCGTGTGCTTGCTGCCTTTGTAGTACAGCTTGCCGCCTAGTTTGGGGCTCAGATTATCCTCGATTTTGTGGCGTATGTGGGAGAAGAACTTCTTGCCAGCACCAAGGGCATGTTTCGGCGATGTGGGCGTTGTGTCGGCAGCCACAACTGGCGGTGGTTGACTCCGGGCATGCGCCAACCTCGACTTGACCGTGTGCTTGTACATCCTCGGGCTGGACCCTGCTGGGGGATGATGTAAAGCCAGCGATCAGCGATCAGCGATCAGCAGAAGAGAGCGAGTAAAAGTGCATAAAATTCCTCGCTTTGTTTTTGTTTGCGATTTTCCTTCCACTTTCACGGGGCTATTTGGGGGGCTGAGCTGGAACCTGGCGCGTAACTCTTGTATTCGTGTGGCGTGGCGTGGCTTGTCTTGGCGTTGTTTTCTCTTTGAGCTCGGCGACGCAACTAAATTTGTTTTGGCCAAAGAGCTCAAGTCAGAGGCCCCCAGTGGCAGTGGCAGAGCTCGGGCCAAATGCTGGCTGTGCATTCGAAAGTGGCTTATCGAGCAGCAGACATGGCAGAGAGGAGAGTCCCGAGTCCCCCTCTGAGGTTGAGGTTGCACCGTAATTGGTGGCAGGGGGCAGGGGGCAGGGGGCAGGGGTACCAGACAGTACAGAGGTGAATGCAACCAAAAGACCAACGGACTACCGCACCATAACACCTGGCAACGTGTTCGATGATGCTAATTGCCACAGCCAACAATTGGTCACCGAGCAGCGAGCGAGCGACCATCGAACACATGCCCCCCGATTTATGTATGGTTTGTGTCCCCATAATTAGCATTTACCATCATCATTATTATTATTATTGTTATTATTATCGTCAGCAGTCCATCATCATCTTGTTGACCGACGTTCAAAGAAAAGTGAAACAAGTGAGGCAATGGAATGGTAGGGCTCTGGGCCTCGCCTCTTAGGGCCCCGCTGGCTACTTATTTGTGCCTTTTCATTGCCAGCAATTGGACTTGAACAAACAGCACACAAAAGGTACAAAAAGAAAACAGGCAGAGATCCACTTCGTATACGCAATGCAATGGCACCGGAAAAGTGTCAAACAAACAACGAACCAACCAGCGAGTGTGGCAATCGCAGAGGAATGACAAAGGTCTAGACCCCACTGGCACTGGAGTTGAAAGGTCAGTAACCGAGAAGCTATGGGATTCCCATACTACTACAACTAATTGGCAGTCCAATAGGGAAATCTACTTTTGACAGCTTTCTGTTAAATCAGGAAAATCGAGCGACACAAGACACACACACAAAGTGCAAAGAAACGCAGTCAAATAATCTAGGGGTGTGGCTGCATGACACTTGACACCAACATGTGGCTAACGAGAACTCAGATGTTACATTCCAAATGGGATGTAGAAAGATAAGGGATTGATTCGACTTAAGAGAAGATAACGAAAAAGCAACATGGTTGAGGCACGAAACACTCAAGATGCGCTCCAAAGAGCAGTATATCGTATATCATATCCAGAGACACATTTTATAGTATTTAAATATTCAAAAATCATTCAAAATTATGAGCTATATATTATTTAAACTACAATTAGCAACATCAACATTTTAGCCAACCTCAAAGTCAATATTTCCCACAGAAATCATCGCCAGCAATTGTCCTATCAACAAGGGGATAATCCGTTAAGTTATCCCTGCTGTTCAGCATCAGGAAATAATCTAGAGATCAACCATAATTATCCCCGGCTGTATCATCATCCATAAGCATGTCAATGGGGGACCTTTGTGGCCACAAAATTGATGTAATTCCAGCGCAAACGTCAGTCAGGCCTGCATGGGGCCCTACGAAAGTCATTCGGAAAACGCATCTGCTGCTGGCTTCCTGGTTATTGTTTCATAATTAAAAACTAGTTTACATATGCGTAAAGCCCTCGGGTTTTTCGGCAGAGACGCGCCCCTTCCCACACAGACCGAGAGAGAGAGAGAGAGAGAGAGAGTGGGAAAGAGAGACACACAGAGAGAGAGAGGCGTTAATGAAGTTTTCGTGTTTTTCGGAGGGGGCTTTTGTTTTTGTTTTTTTGGCAGAGCTAATTTAAAAAGCATTTCCCTTTGGTCCACACTCTCTCCGCTGTCTGTCTGCCTGTCTGATGGAGCGATGACAGAACCCGCCTCAAAACCTCAAAAAGCTTATTATATAATCCCCCCAGTTATAACCAGGTTGGGCAAACCAGACAGACAGGCGTGGAGAGGCAGAAAGGCACTCCCTCTCTGCCTCTGCCTCTGCCTCTGCCACTGCTTCGACGCATTTCTAATGAAAGCGAACGCTGAAAATTTCACTTCGGGGAAACAATTTTAATGTGCATTGGTCAAATGTGGCTGCGGACTGTGGCGCGACTCAGCGACTCAGCGACTCGCGGGTAGAGCCTACGGCAAATGCAGGTTGCAACGTCATTTTCTGTATAATTTTTTGTTGCTTCGTTTTTGGTGAAAGTCTCTCTGAGCGGCCACAGACACAGTTCGATGTGTGGCTATGGCTCTGGCTCTGTCTCTGTCTCTGGCTGTGTATGTGTATGTGTTCGTAATCATAATCGGGGATACTTGGAATTGGTTTTGGATTCGGATTTTGGACACTTTCCCGTGCACTTTTACGTACAAGCGAACGAGCAGCAATGAGGCAGACTGCGGCACAAACCAAGACTGCGGCCAAGAGTCCAAAGATCGTGTAGTCAGTTGGTGTTTGATTCCTCTCTGGCATGAATATCCACAAAAGATATTCACTGGACAATCGGTGGAGGACACTCGCGTTGCCGCTGGAGAGGCACATAGGCGGCGGCTTTGGGCACATCTCGTCGAGGGAGAGAGATAGATTCGAGTCGTCAGGCTATTTCCATTTGTAAAAACCAACTGAGGAGACGCTGGTCATCTTCCCAGTCGCATCGCAGATCGGAGATTAAATCTCAGGGGGAATTCTATGCCACCGACAACGAACAGCAACAACAATGGGCTCTGGCATGGCACGACGTGGATGAACTTGACCGTGAAAGTCGTCAGAGACACACATACAGCGGACAAACTGGACTTGCAACAAGTGACGTCAACAAGTGGCTTTATTACGATCACTTCACTGGCCATCTACCCATCCCCATCCCCATCCCCATCCCCAAGCACAGTTCGATTCACAGTTGCAGTTGCAGGCGATGAGAACAGGAAATAAAACACCCAGCGAGCAGCCAAGTGGAACCCCGAAGATGATGCTGCATGCAACTGATATCTGTGCAGCAGCACATACACTTACGGTAAGAAGAATAGCAACAGCAATTGGTTTGGTTCAAGCGCTGTATGAATCACTTTTTAGAGTAAACTTTCAATTAGAAAGTGAAACAGCCAAAATATTTTGCAAAGAATATCTCTAGGGGTTCAACAAGTTCTTAATTATACATTTAGTTAGCACATTCATTCACACACGCGAACGAGATTTCGCACATCGATCATTTGAAATGCGAATGAACAACAGTTTTGTTTTGAAACAACAATAAATAAAATGTAAACCAGAAACAGGGAAGTAGAGGATTACCACTAGAGAATTGATCTTAATTTTCCATCCCCATACAAATAGAATGCAAAAATCCATTCTAATTAAATTACTGCCAAGAGAGACAATCAATAAACACAACCAAAATTGCCTACAACACAGATTCTGCTCTGCTTTGCGTCCAGTCATGCTTACACAAGAATAAATAAACATTTAAGCATTTGCCGAAGATGATTAACCAGTTCTCTTTTCGGGCAGGTGTTGCTGTTGCTCCAAATGTGATCACAGCTGTAGGCTGTAGACTGGTAGACTCTCTGGTAGGCTCGCCTCTGCGGATACACATCGCATCCAGAAATGCCGAACTGGAGTTCCCGAGTTAATGTAATAATTGCAGGGTAAACTGCAATTTAATGAAAGGATATATATCTTGGCATGTCAGCCACAATTAAAGGAAACTGCGGATGGAAACGACATTTCAATGATCGTAACTTGGAGAGCGTACGCAATGGAATTCCAAGGTAATTTCTTGCTTAGATTGAAAGTAACAACGAATTTTTATGGCAAATAAACAGCACAGTTGATGTTTCGTTTTGTTTCGTTTGAGATAACAATAAGCTCACATTATATGGTATTTGCTCTCCAGAGAAGTATGTAAATCCTGTCAATAAACATTTTTTTGTAACAACTCGGCGCGAAATCCACACACACACACACGACAAGTTGGGGGTTTAACGATCTCTATACAAGTATTTATTGAAAAAACTCATTCATGAGTCTTCTTCCACAGAGGGGCAGAGTGTCAGAGGGGCGAGAGATCATGTCGTCATAAGCTAAAGACCTGCTAAATGGTTTGTCAAAACACCTGCTGGCTCTGAACCCTGCTAACCCATTGGAGATTGCCCAGACTATACATCTCCCTCTCTCTTTTCGTATCTCCGATTATCCATGTCGCAAGTATCTTCGTTCTTATGAAAGATCAATGACTCGTCATTGCTTTCTGTTTGCGGTTATCGTTAGTCACTCTACAGAGAAGTCATAATTGAACTTGGAATTGGATCAAACCGTTTATGGATCATAGATTTCGTTAGTTCTTAAGTGAAAAATTAAATATGATTAACAGATAAGTACAAGTCCCAAAATATATATTTTCTGTAACAATCTCTAATGTTTGTATATTGCTTTGCTGGGCAATTATTTAATTATTTTGCTGTCGTAATTCCTTGCGTTTTGTTAATCAATTTCCAATCAATTTTCCAGTCAATATTAATGCACGCCCTAGGCTGAACGATCATCTTATATAAGAGCAAAGCTCTTCCGAAACATCATGGATGAGCGCGCGTTGCGTTGCCAGAAACTGTATCTCTCAGATACACTCACCTGCGTGTTGTTGGGCCACTTTCTTTTTGTGCATCGAAATTAATAAATAATCCATGAATAAAATGAATATCTTAAATGAATACCTTCAAAATTAGCATCGATTTTCAGGTTGGGTTCTCTTCTGGTTGGGGCAGTTCGTTCATTCGGCATGGATCAATTGATCGGCGGAATTCGCAAGTGTTTGCCTGCACTTACGTGTGTAGGGCCTGCCACTGCTACTGCCACTTACCACAATTGCAGTGGGGCAACCTCATCAAGCAGTCGTTCATCATGACAGTGACCGGGCCGGCAGGCGTCGCCCCTGCCTCTTCAGAACGGGCTGAGCGACAGAGCGACAGAGCGGCGGCGGCAGAGCTTTATTTAACCAAGCCTCCATCTAGAATTTTGCCATACTTAAGCTCAGAGCTTGTAACACTTCGGACGGTGTCCGCTCAGGTCTCAGATCTGAAGTCTCTCTGCTCCGCTCAGAAATTCGAAGCATTTTGCGTTCTTTTAGTGAGCGGCAGCAGCTTCAATTTAGTTCGAAAAAACACTCAAAACTTTAATTAAACTGGATTAATTAAGTGGCTCGTGTTGACAATCGGCTTGGACCTGATTTCTGTGGAAATTTGAGGATCGTAATCCAATCGTAAGATGCAAATCCGAATGTTTGTAATGGCGGTTTCGCAGCTGCTGTGTGTCAGTGTCAGAGCGGGAAGTGAGTAAAACTGTGCCCCGAGTGATCTTAACGTTCGATCTACGATCCATTCTGTTTCCTTTTCCAGTGTCTAGTGGTGTCAATGGCCTCAAGCGGTTTGCCTATGAGCCGGGAAAATGTGCGATAACCATCTCAGAAGTGATCAATGGAATGGTCAAGACGGAGCTGGGGATGCTCTTCGGCACACGGGCACGAGTGTCGCAGAGTCAGTTGCTCCACTATGATCTCTACACGCCGCTGAATCCCGAGGTGCGACAAATTCTGCGACCAGGAGATTTAAGCATGCTCAAGAAGTCCAATTTCAATCCCAAATGGCCAGTGAGGTAGGCCAATCCACCAACGCTCGTTAGTAGTCTCCTTCAGCTAACAATCTGTAACTTATTTTTGCCAGAGTTTCCATTCATGGCTGGTCGGGTAGGAGCGATTCCTGCTCGAATGCTGCCATCAAGGATGCCTATTTGTCGCGCGGAAATTACAATGTAATCATCTTGGATTGGAGTCGCCAGTCGCTGGACATTAGCTACAAGCGTGTGTCCAAGCAGCTGCCCGCCATTGCCGCCAATCTCGCCAAAATGCTGCGCTTTCTGCACGACAACGCGGGTGTGCCGTACGAGAATATCTACCTGGTGGGGCACAGTGCTGGCAGCCACATCTCCGGGCTGGCGGGGAAACTCCTGCAGCCTCAGCTTCTGGGCGCCATTTTTGCCTTGGATCCCGCCGGTCTCACGCAACTGAGTCTCGGACCGAGCGAGCGACTGTCCCCTACCGATGCCATGTACGTGGAGTCCATCCACACGGATCTGACGCTGCTGGGCAATCCGAGCCATCGCCTCAGCCACGCCTCCTTCTTCACCAACTGGGGCCTGGGCCAGCCGCATTGTCCGAATGCAACGGCCACGGAATTTGACTTTGTTTGTGACCATTTCGCGGCCTTGTATTACTTTGCCGAGTCGGTACGTCGTCCCAGTTCGTTCCCGGCTTTGCGATGCGGTTCGGCGGCAACCATACGGTCGGCCACCTGCAATTGCCGCAACAGCAGCGGCACCAGCGAAAGCTCCACTGAAGCCAGTGGCAGGAACTCCACGACAGCCAGCGACAGACACGCAGCCATGCGGCCGACATGTCGTGGCGATCAGTTCATGGGCGGTGAGCCAGCTGTACAAAAAAATGGCGTGTACTACCTCAGCACACGGCGGCAGGCGCCATACGGGTATGATGATGGAATGGTTCACATGCGACCGCCAAAGCCATCGACCATACTGCAGACGGGGGTCCCAAAAGGGTGGCTTATGTAGAGACTCGAGCAGCAGCACTCGGAGCATTGCGAGTGATCAAAATTGTGATCTATCCATGTGTATCTATGTTTAAGTTTAGAACTAAGTAAGCCATTAAAATGCAAAGTTTTCCCTTTAACAAGAGGTTTAAAAGATAGATGGTAGACAGGAGATAGCAGAGGGTAAGAGTAGAGAGACCCTAAGAGTAGAGGAACGAGACTCAAATGGCATTCGAAGTGGCACTCCCACAGAAGAAGCTCAAGATCAACAGCTGTACCTATTAACAGTTGCCCTATGAGAATTATGATTCCCTGAAGTTTCTATACCAAAAATTCCTACAATTTTGAACCCAACTTCAACTATACCTCAAGTTTTTCCCACTTTTGATGGCCGATTTAAGTTTAAGTTTAAGGCTTAAACTACATTCATTTATAAGGAAAATCCTTCCCCGACTCACCTGACTAGGACCTATACGATAGCTAGCCACATCCAATTCATTGATGGCCAGTATCTGCTCCACGCTTATATCCTTGTTGTTGGCCAGCTCGCCGGCGAGGAGGCCAAAGCGACGCACAAACTCCAACAATGGCACAGATTCGGGGAAGCCCAGACGATGGAGACGCGCTGCCTCCAGGACTTGAGAGCCGCGCAGCTGAGAGACAGAAAGAAGAGAAGCGTTTATATGGCTGCCGCATTTGCCGGATATTTCTTGTATTCTTAGCTGTCTACCTGACTTCGCAGCAGGGGCACGTTCACCATCTCCTCCTCGCTGGCCGTCTGCCCCGTCGCAGAGTGTGGCGAGCCATTGGCTGTGTATTTGGCCTGCTTTCCGGCATTGTGCTGCAGCAGATAACAGTGCACAAAGTGGGTGCCAGTGCGACGCAGGGTATCGATGATGCCATCCACGGTGAATTTCACTTGCAGCATAATGGAATTACGCTTCACGCCCGCAGTGGTGAAGGATCGGCGAATGCTGGACACACGGCGCAGCGACTGGGTGCCCTCGAGGCCGGCAAAGGAGCCACAAAAGACCATGGCACCGGAGCCACGGGTCAGGGAGCCAATGTACAGGCGATTGATCTCCTCCCGGCTGCTGTCCTGCAGCAGGGACACTGCATTCCGTATGCCCGGATGCTCGCGACTGTTGCGCACCCACCCATCGACGGCATAGAGCACTGGATTCGTGCCCTGCAGGTGATGCAGCACAAACTGCCGCGTACCGGCGCACTTGCGCAGCAGCGAGTGATGCTCCCGGTCGCCGTAATGCGAGAACAGGCGCTCCAGGAATGTGTCGTCGTTGGAGTTCGGATAAATAGCCTCTTCGTCCAGCAGCCTGGGGGAAGGGAAAGGCTAAAATTAAAGGAAAAACCCCAACGGAGACGCCTGGGAATCCTCACCATAGCATGCCTCGACGATCGTGCTCGCGGAGATCGCGCTGGGAAGAGCGCACCACATGATTCTGTGGCGCCTTGTCGATCAGCGAGATCAGTGGGCCCGGATGGCACTCCGAAGCCTGATCCGCCTCGATCTCCACCAGCTCCTGGGCGTACCGATCGCGCGGCGCCACCAGGGTGGTGTGATGGAAGAGCATTTGCAGCCGCTCCTGCAGATAGTTGTGCCGCAGATCGGCCAGCGTGGCTCCCAGTTGCTGGCCACAGCTGGCGGGATTCTGGAAGCCAGGCGTATCGATCAGCATGATCGAGGCGATCGTATGAGCGGAAGTACAGATCTGACGATTGATCAGCGCTACCACGGCGGCCAGTGCCTCCGAGTACAGGCCAATGACGAGCGCCTCCAGGCACTCCCAGGCCCACTCGTGGCCATTGTCAGAGGTGGGTGACTTCGACGGACTCAGCCCGCCATTCGGGGCATTCGGCTGAGTGAGGCCAAAGGCGGCGCCCGACAAATCTTCGAGATTCACGCCCAGCAGCCCTGCCGCCTTGCGGGCTGCCGTGGGATTGGCAAACTGCGTCCGGGCTGTGGATCCGGTTCCTAGTTTGGTGACCCCCGCGACTCCCAGATGGTAGATGGCCGCAAGTATGCTCCAGATGCCACGCACCGCCTTCGCATCGATGTTGAGCGACTCGAAGGCCTGCACCGTGCGCATAAAGTCATTGGCCGCCCGATGGCGATCCTCCAGCTTTTGGGAGAGCGATATAAACGGATGGCTATCCTCCGAGGTGATATTCTCCAAGTGCAGCTCCTTCTGCAGCAGCCCCGCGGCCCCTGCCAGCAGCCGTGTCATAATATGGAAGCTGTGCTCGTGCGCCAATCGTCGCCCAGCTCGCTGTCGCTCGGGTAGGAGTACCTGTAAGAGGATTACCATTAGCAATCTGCAAGTGTGGGTTATTACTCTTCCTTCCACACACTCACCTGCAGCGAGGCGGATGCTATTTGTCCCGTCTGATCAAAGTCCAGGCTCAGCAGCTGCGTCATGCGTGTGGCATTCGAGTTGAGGCAGGTTCTGGTATTGCCAAATGCCTCCAGAATGGTGCACAGGGCATTCACCTTTTCGGCATTTATGAAATTGTTATAGGCACCTGCGGAGAGAGCAAGCGTTTTAGGATCTATTCATTATTTTTAGAGAATTTCGAAATATTTCTAATCCATTCAAACTCCTAAGAATAAGTTAATATCTGTTAGCCTTTTTTCTTGACTCTGGTTATATTTGGGATCTTGATTGTAGTCCAGTAGTCTGGTCGATAACTACAGATACTGGAGATACTTTTAAAACCACGCTGGACCATGTACCATTGAAATGTTTGGCATTATTCATATTCATCTTACAACAATATTGTCTTGAATTTAGATATTTTTAGCAATTTTTGTATGGTAATCTGGTAGAGAGACAGAGGTAGAGAAGTAGAATTAGGCCACAATGGAAAACTAGTTTCCATATTTAAAACTCTAATTTAGATCTGATTTTAATGATTTTTATAGATCTGCTGGATTAAATCAATATTTTTAGGGCTACGTTAAAGATTTCTTTAAATCTTCAAAACTTAAATATGCCGCCAGACGAAAGCGATTAATTTCTACACCCAGAAATACTTCTAATTAGTCTGTAAAGCAAGAAAATATTCCCTATATATTAATATATATTTCCATTTGAATTTCCCCCAGACTGTCTGGGGCACAAAATGAACTGGAGGTGGTAGTAGGCTGGGGCGACTAATTGCAGCTGCATTTTCTTGGCCAACAATGCAAATGAGCAAAACGAATAAACAAACATTCTGTTGGCTGGGCCAAAAACTGGGCCAGCCTACAGCCAAATGCAGTTACAGTCGATAGATAGACACAGACGCAGACACAGACACAGACTCACGGCATAGAAATAGACACATACCAGCGGCCAACGCCAAGTAGTTTAAAGCATGCTTGAAGCTTGTGGATTTGCCAGAACCAGATCGACCCATGAATATGAGGCTCTGGTCGCGTCGCGTCTCGACCAGACTCCTGTAGGCGGTCTGGGCCAGTGAGTAGACGTGGGGCGGCATATCCTCCGTCTTGCAACCGCGGAACATGGACACAACCTACACGAGAGAGAGAGAAAGAGAGAGAGAGAGTGCAGAGCAGCAGATAAATAACCAGATCGCACACACAGATTCAGATTCCGATTTAAGCGACCAGTTGGCTTCTTACCTTCTCGGAGTAGAGGGACAACGGGGCCATCGGATTGACCACGAGCAGCGTGGGCCCCGCCTTGGTGTGGATGAGATTGCTGGCATACCGCTGTCGCAGGCAATGCAGCACCGACGCCTCATTCAGATACTTTAGCTCGCAAATGTCCTCGCAAAGGTCCAGGGCTTGGCTGTTCTGCTTCTCCACATCGTCCTCGTCGACGGTCAGCTGCTCCCCGTTGTGCAGCAGTCGCACCAGCATCTTGTGCGGCTCCTCGTGGGCTGAAACTCCTCCTATGGTTGGCTGCTGTGCTTGGCGGATGGCTGCAGTGAAGCCTCCACGATGCACTAGCCACACACGCTCTGGCTCCCGCTCCGGTTGCCCGGTGGCGGCAGCATCAGCCCCATCCGCTGCATCCAGCGGCCCACCGCCAGCAGCTGTTGGAGAGCTGCCTGCGTCTCCGCCTCCATTGCCATTCTCGTGGCGGCTCTGCGAAAAATTAATACCAAAAATTGACGTTAAATTGGGGTCAACATTTTGTGGCGGAGCAAAAACTTCACTACAAAGCAGTTCTCTCGATGTTTATTTTGGTACACACTCTGTGAGGGATTGGGGGCCAGCATTTTCACGCATTTTTTCCATTTATTATCGTATCGCACTCCCTGCCAACAGATGCTGACGCGAAGACACAAAGCCGCGAAGACTCGACGCAGTAGAGTTTCTTTTTTGGGGTTTATTTTCGGTTGCATTTCTAAATTTGATGATGTTTTCTAAATCCTAATTAGCCGCCCAGACGCCGCGCCAAATGCTATTGGGCTAGACACCAGAAGTTCTTTTTTGCCTTTGCCTTTGCCTTTGCCTTTGCCTCTGCCTCCGACTACGACGGCGCGGATGTGGTTGCACGGACACGGAGACGATACACGGGACACGCCATTATGCAACGCTCTCTGTACAGCGAAGTCTTCTTCGAAGTCAGTTCACATTTTGTGGCTTTATGTATATATGGAGCTGATTTCTGGGGTAGAAGGAGCAGTGCTCTGCATTTCCTTTTGAATTATGAAAAATACTCGCATCATTATATTGGGCAAGGTTCAATAGCCCTCAATTAGCACTCAGGAAAACATGTTCCTCTACTTTAGAGGAAGTTGGGAAAGTCTCTCTGCTCGCACACGAGATATAAACAACTTTTATTCATTGATTTGTATACCAATTAATTATGTTATAGTTTGGAAACTCTTTTGAAATGGTTTGTGAATGGAAAATGAATGTTTAAATTAAAAACTGAATGAATTTTGGTATAAAATGGGAGTGTTCCAGCCCAAAAAGCTTCTCTAAAGAGTATTCATTATCTAGTCTAGTTTTTCTTGATTTTCCAACATGATAGACCCGCTTAAGTAGCCACCAAATTGATTGCTCACTTCTCAGTGTTGTAGCCAGTGTTTTCCACGCATTTTCATCTTTCCATCCGACCATCCATCGAGCGCGGAACTTGTTTGAAAGAATATTTAGATAAACACA